AAGTAGACAGGCAAAATCCCCCTTCACACTTACATGATTCCTTTCTATCAGTTCTGAGATTTGCACTAATGTATTATTAACCATATCCTTTTAATAAAATAGTTTATAGTATACTTCTATAACTATATGCTTTCCAAATTTTTAATCTTAGATGCTCTCTTCTATAATTCCTTTCTTGTGAGTGTAGATTTTCTATTTTCTTGAGACAATGGTCTTGCTCTTTTGCCCAGCTGGAGTGTAGTGGCATGATTACAGTTTACTGAAGTCTTGGCCTCCTGGTCTCGGGTCATTCCCCACCTCAGTCTCCTGAGTAATTGGGACTACAGGCATGTGCCACCATATCTGGCTATTTTTTTTTTTTTTTTCCGTATAGAGTGTTTCACTGTGTTGCCCAGGCTGGTCTTGAATTCCTGAGCTCAAGTGATCCTCCTGCCTCGACCTCCCAAAGTGCTGGGATTCCAGGCATGACTCATGCCTGGAATCTTTAATCTTATATTTAGACTTTTGAATATACTGTGGTTCTTTGCTTTTCAATCTAAAAGGCTTGAATTTTTGAAATAAAATATTCTCTTACATGAATATGTTTCAGTTTTTGATTTTATCCCAGCAAATCTTCATGCTTAGTATAAGGCTGTAGTTAATCTGAGTTAGTACTATGTTTTGCGCATTGATCCGTTAATTCATCACCCATGGACTGAACACCTGTGCTCTAGATTTAGGGAGAAAAAAAAGCTGAAGAAAGCAAAACACTTTTCCTCGAGGATTTCCAAGGCTCGAGGGGAAAGACAAGCATGTAGACAAGATAAAGAATTACAGTGTCATGTGTTAAGTGTCCTGATAGAAATATGAACAAAAGTAAGTAGAAATGTATGAGGAGCACAGTTACAATTTGTCTAGGAAAACATTATAGAAGACTTATATTGAAATTCCATTTAAACTGGTAAAGAAACTTGGCAGGATGAGAAAAATGGGATGACTTCCTCTTTTCATTGTTTTCACTTACAAATTCTCCTAGACAGATAACTGGTTCTCACAGAATTCAATTAATTCAATTTAATTAGTAGAAGACTCAGCCAATTGAAGAAACTACTGGCTATTATTAGGATAAATACGTTAAAATAAAATCTTGAAATTCAAAGAAACACATCAAAATAAATTCATTCTATTGACTACCAACTGTACACAAACTTGATATTCAAGATCTAACATAGTTCAGGCTGTGCAATAGTTTCAATTGGTCCCCTACAAAATTCAAGTGTTGTCAATGTGATAGTATTAAGAGATGAGGACTTTAAGAGGTGATTATGCCACAAGGGCTCTTCTCTCATGAATGAGATTAAGGTCTTTATATAGAAGGCTTCATACAACATCTGGCTAGCTTGCCTTTTCACCCTCTGCCATGTGAGAACACATCATTTCTCTCCTTTGGAGAACACAGGAAAAAGGTGCCACCTTGGAGAGAAAGTGTTAGTCTCATCAGACAACCACATTGCCAGCACTTTTATTTTCTCATAGATCTGGAGGATAGAAAGTTCAAGATTTAATTTCTGTCTTTATAAATTACCCTAGTCTCAGGTATTTTGTTACAGCACCACAAATAGGCAAAGACAGGATGCCATAACAAAATACCACCCGGTGGCTTAAACAGAAATTTATTTTCTCATAGTTCTGGAGACTGGAAGTACAAGATCAACATGCAAGCAGGGTTGGTGTCTGGTGAGGGCTCTTCTCTTGGGTTGCAGACAGCAGGTTTCTTGCTGTGTGCTCACATGGACTTTCATTCCTGCATGCCCCAGGATAGAGTGAGAGCTTCAGTGTCTCTCCCTCTTTTATAAAGACACCAATTTTATCACACCAGGGTCCCACCCTCACAACCTCACCTAAACCTAATTACTTCCCAAGAGCCCCATCTCCAAATATCATCCCATTGGGGGTTAGGGCTTCATCATATGAATTCTGGGGGAACACAAACATTCAGTTGGTAGCAACAGGTTAAGCAATATGTTAATATAATTATTAATCAGTAAGAAAGCTGACACTGAAAAATGGCAGTGTCTTTCTAGGAAGGAAACCAAACTATGCTTGGACATACTTGTTAGCAAAGCTTAATTAAAAAAAAAAAAAAAGTAAAAAGTAAAAAATCTTAAGACTACAGAATTATTCTCAAAACCAGCTTTTTAAATTATTTTGTGACTCAGATTATCTGATTTATGATAGTGAAATATCCAAACAAAACTATCTTGATAATATTATTGTGAAACATCTCAGATCTTTATACTGTGGCTTTCATTTGAAAATTTAAACTGTATGTATACATATTTAATATAGGCAAACCTACTAATCATTTTAAATTAGTTATTGTAAATTTTAAATGATCTGCAGTTTTTCTTATTGTAAAAATATCTTTACATGTTTTAATAGCACCTTTAGAAATTATAAAATTATATATTATATCCTCACATATGATAGTAGGACATAGCTATATCCTCTAGCCTTAATTATAGGAAAAGTATAGATGACCGTAAGGCTTAGCTTTATTGTTTTATAAATGAACCAGTAAAGTTCGTTTTAGTGAAATGAGCACAAGCTTTTCATAAATTAAAATAAATCTCACATAGTAAAGTGCCCATCCTGAAAATTAATATAATTACACATTTAAAGCTTAATTATACTTAATTAAGCATTTAAGTTTAATATGAAATAAATAAATTATCAGTTAACTCTATGAAATGAAATACTGGCTTGATAATTAAAATCTATAAATTTTCTTATTCTTTACAAAACTGCTAGTTCTTACAAAACACTCATAAAATATGTATTTTAAAGACTAGAGAATTATATCTTCATCGCTGATCAAGGAGTAATTTTTCTGGCACCTAGGTTGGTGGGTTGTACATTTACTGTCTCAGTAAATGGAGGCAGCATGGTACCAAAAAAAAAAGAGCAGACATTTTTAGAAAGTGGGGTTTGGGTGTTAGCTCAGTCACTGACAGCCTACAACAGTGGGAGAATTACTTAGCAACTTGCACCTGAAATTCCCTATAAAATGGGGTTAAATTCTCTTGGAGGGTTGTTGACAGAATTTAAAGAGTTATCTCATAGTCAAACGTCTGGAAGAGTATCTGACTTGGAAAAGATATGTGACAAATGCTAATACCCTCACTACCCCAGCTGCTGAGTAAATGAAGAATAATACTGTACTTTCTGGTGTAAAAAAAAGTATTGCCCTTAAAATGTATATTTTTTTAAATCACAAAAGTAACACCATATTACTTTTCATTTAAATACATCAAACATAATATACATTTCACACTTATTTTCCTAAGCACTCTGTCAATGGAGACAGGCTAGCATTATTGCTAACACAGGCATCTGAATCAGGGAGAATTTACTTTGAACCTTGGTTCCACTCTTTACTACTATTTGAGAAATTATAGAAAAATTACCCTGACCTATTTCGCAAGCTTATCTGTAAATGCATGTTTGACTCAAAACTCAGAAATAGAAAAATCAGTATAATAATTCAAACTTAACAAAAAGTTAGTGAGGTGGTAAGGCAGGTGGTATTTTCCCTTCTCCCCAACTCCAATTACTCACATGAAGATACTGATTTTCACTGATTTTAGGTGATTTGCCCAAGGTTAAGAGTAGGATGAACTCAATATCAGAATCCAGATTTTAAAAATTCCTTTATCAGTGCTTATTTCTCCATGACACAAGAAGGGAAAGGTGAAATATATCAAAATCTTCTGAAGCAGTGAAGCAAAAAAGAAAGATAAATCTGACAGATTAAGCCTGGTTCTATCACCTAATAATTAAAATTCAGAGAGCTCAGCTCTGTGAATTTCAGTATCTTCTAGAAAATGGGACTACATACTTCTGGAAAATGGGACTACATACATATGAACACTACCTAACCCTGTATAGGGTTAATATAAGGATTATAGATGACAACAAATGTAAAGTGCCTAACAGAGTGGCTGACACATAGTAGTAATACATTAATGATAGCTATAAATGCTAAAGCAGCATCAAAGCACCACTTTTGCTAAGTCTCTATCCACAGATTGGAGAACTACATAATAAAGTGAACATTCTTTGGAAACATTTAATAAGAATGAGTACAGTAGTCTCCACTAAATTCTCAGGTATTATTTTTAGAACAGAGACTATAAATTTTAAGTTATTTCAGTTCATAACACCTTGCCTATTAAATCTGCATTTAATAGCTCATCTCATTTTGAACATGGTTTTACAAGTGCTTATGAAAATATGTGACAATCTATTCCATAATTTCCAAAATCTATTTCCATAATTCCATTTTCTATTCCATAATGCAATAAAAATTGAAATTAAATATTCTTAACACTTTATAACATACATTATTCAATGCCAAATCCAGTAATTTTCAGAGTTTTGTCTTAATAACGTTACTGGCAGTATAAACATGTTGGATTGTTTTGGTACTTACAACCTAAATTCTAAGTCACTTAAAATTATACAGATTGTTTTATTTACAGCATAGCCAGAAATAGCCTTCATAAATAAAATACTGTAAAATATATACTTGTTTACTCTCTAAGAAAGTATATGCCAAAAAATTAAGCAAACGTCACTAGTTTGTATTATTTTTCACTGTTATTATTATCAATACATATTTATTAGGTGTCTATTTGCATTTAAACCTGAAAGATACTGGTTTAGACTGTTCTACATTTTCTTGAAAACAGTACTTATTATAAATTTGGTGTCCTGACTTTTCAAGTTGCAAATCAGAGTAACAGTAGTTTCAGCAGTTACAGAACCAGAGAAAAAAGAAAACCACACATAATGCAACGCTATGAAAAATATATAGAACTGAAATTACAAATTATATAGAAAACTATTATTTATTATTAGGATATTTAACCTTATACATGTATTCTTTTGAAAATGTGTTAAAAATGAATTCTACTAATATTTGAAATCAGTTTTTGTTATTAAATGGGTCATTAACTTACCAGGGTTCTACTTTGAGAGTTGAAGGTATTTTCTCTGGAAGAAAAAATCCATGCCATTTTGAAGCCTCAATTAGTTCTTGTGGTATTCTTTTTGATGCATCGTAATAGTGACCAAATCTTGAAGATGATACTGGTCCAATCTGCTAAAATAAACCCCATACTGGCTGTTAAACAATTATTTTTAAACTGTAATTTATTTGTCCTACATTCTGCAAAACAATGACACATTTATGCATTTTAAGCTAATAAGGAAGAAGTGATATATATACACTAAATTTCAAAGAAGCATACAACAACCTTTATTATTTTAAACCATTTAGAGTTACAAATCAACCTTTTTATCTCTCATGTATCTTCACTTCTAATTGTTCCCTAAAATTTGACAAGAATTTAAAAACCTGTTTGGTTTATTTTCATTATAGTGTATACCTTCCTAAGTTCAAAAATCAATATACATAATTCTTAATTCATATGTAAGACTCTAGGTTTTAGTGACAAATTAAATATGCAGTTGCCAAGAACTAAATGAAAGCTTAAACCCAATTAATTCACTGGTGAGAGGTCCAAAATAATCTAGCTATTTAAATACATTAAACTGAGTATCATTTTAAAACTGAATTCTCACACAAGACAATACATATATGTATATTCAACATTTTTTACAAATTTAAATTAAGCTTATAAAATAAAATGTACTGCAATACTCCAGACAGGAACAAGGCACAGATAAAGCGGAAGAATGTATATGACCTACATTAGGTCAATCAGAATCTGACATAATCATTAGTTCATCAATAATTCCTCTTTTGTGTTCTCTACTAACAATTTCTCCAACAAATTATCTTTCTCATAAGAAACTCTAATTTATATGACACTGAATTTATTTATATGGGATAGCAAAAGTCTATTAACATAACATTATTATTATGTTGTTTTGAATGGACTTCGAGCTAACTTCTTTCATTCAACACACTGAAAAAAAAATATATATATATACCACTATCAAAAATTGAACTATTAACAAATTCTACTTGGCAATAGTTTCTAATAAAAGATCTCTGATCTACTCTTACATAATTTCCACTGTCCTGAATGCCTCAAAATATTTCAGAATATTCAACAAAACTAGATAATTGCTACAGAAATTGAAGAATTATACATAGTAGATACTTATCTTACTAAGTGACAACTTTTTAATTTAGATAAGAAAGACATATTTGCTTGAAACTAGATATTTGCATTTAAGACTTCAAGGATTCATTTTCTTAAACTGTCTACAAACATGAAATCATACAGTAAAAAGTAAAAATTTTTACATCTAATAGAAACAATTTTCTCAGATTCAGAGTCTGTGGGTTGAACATTTATTTTTTAAATTAAATGACTGTTCATCCCTCCATAAGGTACTACTTACTTTCATTAATGAAAGAGATGCTATCAATTAGCTTCAATCTAACCTTTTCAATGCAATATGTACAGAATTGTTACCAAAACATAATTTATTCATTTACCATGAAACTACTCACAAATAAAATATATAACATTAAAATGTTTCTTAAAAATAGAGTGACAAAAGTTTTAAAATGTAAAGTTATTAGTCTAAAGCAATTTAAACAAGGTCTGTTCTTTGGCCTATAATCTATTCTTTATCCGGATTATAGTTCGGAATGTTTTTACTGCAATCTCTGCTAGAGCTCATCTTTTTATTGTGTAAGTCCAAGCTCCCTTAATGTTTTAGAAAGGCCTTGACTAACTGAACTTTGATCTGATGTCTTCATTGAGAAAAACACCAGGTTGCCCATTTCAGATGCAAATCCCCCTAAGGCCCAATAGAATTCAGTAAAGACAGCAAAAAAGAAAAAAACAGAAGTTTCCAGGATCCTCTTTGAGAATCCTGGGGCACACTGGTGTCCTTAATCCATGCTGCTGCATGGATTAAGGTAGGTGATAACCTTTCCTGATTCAAAAGAATAAGCAGAGTGCCTACAAACTGGGTGGAGACTAGGATTTGGCTATAATAAAACACTATGCAATAAAAGCTTGGTCTATGTCAGAAGCCTCTGAAAAGGCCTCAATGTACCACATTCCCAGGCCTAGTAGGGAAGCTTGCAAAAGCCTACCTGAATCAAGTAAGCATGAATAATCTATTTTAGCAGACTGGCCATGGGGAGAGAGAAAGAAAGAGACTTTTCACTTCTTTTAAGTTTGAGTTAATAAATTTATTAGTGGACTGAAAGTTCTTGAAGTCCTATGCACTCAGAGAAATATGCTAAATTGCCAAGAAGCAAAGTATGCTTTTAAAGTTGCCGTCTCTATTAATGTTTCTAATTATAATATTAATGTGATAGAAATCTCAGATTTGGAATGAATCAAGGCAGAAAATTGATTTCATGCTGAGACAGTTTACATATAGAACACAAATAATTCATTAAAATGTAAAAATAAAATTGGAAGCTTTTCTCATTATAATTAAGTTAATTTATTTAGAAATTAAGATTAGATGTGGTACCTAAAATATTCATAAGATGGCCATGAAAATTTTATAGCTGATGAAAAACTTTAACCTTTCAATTAAAAATGAAAATATATCCTTACAGGAAAAAACAATTTTCCAAGTTTTTCTGCTCTAGACATACAACATTAACATATAATCAGATTTTGAAACACTGAAATCTTTTGAGACCTAGAATTGTAAAACAAAGACTCAGATATTTCCTCTAAGAAAGATAACTACCTGGTGTAAATAAAATAATTAATATCATCAACAAAAAACTGTCAACTCCATAAAAATTGACACATTAAAAAATATCAAGCTATTATCAATAACTAGTCAGTTTCTTAGGTAAGAACATGTTGCTTTAGTTTTACACATGAAAATTTCTAATTCACATTCATAAACTACCTTTCGACTTTGTCATCTGTGGAAGTAAAATGAAATGGCTCAGTTAAAATTTATGATGTTAAAAGAAAATGAACTCTAATGGGGGTACAGGAGGAAAACAGGGTAAGAAAAATAACACCATACTCCACCTCTAGTATGTGAAAACGAAACAAAACTTTCAAAGAAAAGCTGCACCAAAAGCAATTTAAATAAGACATTTTCTTACCACTGTTATTATTTCTTATTTCTCAGTATGGCACACCAGACAGCAAGAATCCAGGCAGTTTTTAAAACACTTTGATCCTCAGTTTAATCACTAGAAACTGAAGCTAATAATTATTTTACAAGGCTGTTGTGAGACTCTAATGTAATACTAGCAATGAATATTCTGTAAACGGTGTAGTACATAAATGTTATTAATTATTATTATTGCATCATGATTTACTAGAGAATTAGAAGATCCATCACTGTAATTACATTGTCTTATTGAAAAAATTGTATTTGTTGTCCATCTACACCTGTACACATCTATCACAGGACTGTTGCAGCTAAATCATTAAGATAGAAAGCCAATGTTTAAGGAGAATTTAATATAATAAAGGCTTAACACACTGCCATGAATTGCTGGAGTCGTTGTAGGTCATGGTATTAGAGCTCTACAATACTGAAGAAATTCTCAGAATATGCTGTCAGCTAGCAATTCATGGAGTGAGTCAGGAATAGTGGTTGATGATTATGAGGCAGGGAAGAAGAAGGCATGTCCACCTTAGAGAGAGAATCGAAATCACATGGTGAGGGAAAGAGAGCTTTTTAAAACTATACGCTCTTCTATCCAAATGAAGCACTGCTTTATACTTTACTGAATCATTGTTATTGATCTAGGTGTGTATATTCTTGTCCTCTCTTCATTATTAGGTGGTAATATGGTTACACCCTTAGGACTGGTGACAACTTATTTTAAAAGGCATCTCTGATAATCAACACACCTAGTTTTGAACCATTTATTTAATCTTTATTTATTTATTTATTTTTTTATTTAATCTTAAGACACAATTTTGTTAACTGCAATTTGTCCCAAATAAAATATAGAAAACAGTGAAGTCTACAGCCAAACCACCCTGAATGTGTTGGATCTCATCTGACCTTACTTAGAAAACCCAGTGATATGGTTTGGCTATGTGTCCCTACCCAAATCTCAACTCAAATTGTAATCTTCACATGTTGAGGGAGGAGCCTGGTGGGGGGTAATTGGATCATGGGGTTGGTTTCCCCATGCTGTTCTCATGATAGTGAGGGAGTTCTTAGGAGATCTGATGGTTTAAAAGTGGCAGGCTCCCCTGTGCTTTCTCTCCTGCTGCCATGTAAGATGTAGCTTGCTTCTCCTTTGCCTTCTGCCATGATTTTAAGTTTCCTGAGGCCTCCGCAGCCATGCAAAGCTGCGAGACAATTAAACCTCTTTTGTTTAAAATTACCCAGTCTCAGGTAGTATGTTTATAGCAGTATGAAAATGAACTAATATAGCCAGGTTTTGTGCGTGCATGCGTGCGTGCGTGCATGCATGTTTGTGTGTTAAAATGAGAAAGGCAAGGTAAAGCCTAGATTTATAAAGTAGATGATGACAAGTGATCATCAAAGCCTATCAGTCTTGGCAAATCATTATATATAAAATTACCTTGACAGGCAAATATACATGCTAGTGACATTTCAAAGAAAAAGCCACAAGGTGATTCTGTTTTCTAAATTGGACGCAACTCACTCTAAATACAAGTAAACGTAAGCATGATAGTTGACTGTATGTTCAAAGTAAGCTATCATTTTGTCTGTATTAATTAATGCATCTTAGCTTAGCTTAATATTTAATCTACATACTATAATTCATTCATTCATACATCCAACAAATAATTACTGGGCACCTACTAAATGTTAGTAAAACTAAACAAAGTCCCTTTCTCTCACTGAGCTCACATTCTAGTATGAGATAGATGATAATAAATTAGATATACATTATCATCATTTAATGATAAGTGCCTTTAAGAAAAGTAAAGCAGTGAAATGAGATGATAGAGAGTGGTTTTATTTCATTTAGAGTGACAAAGGCATCACTCTTGATTAATCATTTAGTAGAAATGTAAGACAATGGACAAATAAACAATCTGGAGAAGGGAACAATTTTCAAAACATTCAAGCTTTAAACTTTGAAAACTGAGCACTAGGGCCGGGTACAGTGGCTTAGGCTTGTAATCTCAGCACTTCAGGAGACCGAGATGAGAGGACTGCTTCAAGCCAGGAGCTTGAGACCAGCTTGGACAAAATAGTGAGACTAGACTCTGTCTCTACAAAAATATTAAACAATCAGCTGGGTTCTGTGGCACATATCTGTGGTCCCAGATATTTGTGAGGTTGAGGTGGGAAGATCACTTGAGCTTGGAGGTCAAAGCTGTAGTGAGTCATGATTGTGCCACTGCACTGTGGCATGGGCGACAGAGCAAGATTCTGTTTCAAAAAAAGAAAAAGGAAAACTGTACTAAATTTATGCAACCTTAATTAATAGATAACTAAGCCAACAGCAGGTAAACCGGACTCTAAAAGGAAAAAAGAAATTAGCACTACTCACTGGGGCAAGAATAGTATCTATGATTGTAATTTATAAAAAACAATGTATTTTTAAAGAAACAAATAATTTTTACACCAAGTCTACACAGATTTCATAATAAGCAATAAGAGAAAAGGCTAGCCAGGCGAGGTGGCTCACTCCTGTAATCCCAGCACTTTGGGAGGCCCAGGCAGGTGGACCATGAGGTCAGGACTTCAAGACCAGCCTGGCCAGCACGGTGAAATGCCATCTCTGCTAACAATACAAAAATTAGCTGGGTGTTGTGGCCCCTGTCTGTAATCTCAGCTACTCAGGAAGCTGAGGCAGAAGAATCACTTGAACCCAGGAGGTGGAGGTTGCAGTGAGCCAAGAACCTGCCATTGTACTCCAGCCTGGACAACAGAGCAAGACTCTGTCTCA